AAGGGAGTTCAGTTTGATCTGTTCTCTTAGATAATGTGCTTTTATTACCTTCATTAATCCATCGTCTTACACTCGTAGCAGAGTGGATAAGTATTGAGGTTAGAGCAGCAGCTGTCTGAAGCTCACAGTGCACCTGCTCCAAGGCCAGCCCGCTAAATACCTCTGAGCAGAGACGCAGCACCGGTACATGACTGGCATAACAACTTGGATTCAGTCGTAATCAAATATTCACCAGGAACAGAGCGCACGTTAGACCGAATGTTCCTCGGACAGCAGCACAGACGATGCCGTGTCAGGAGTTTTTCATCAGGAATGTTTCGATTCTGTGTCCGAGCTGCGAGCCGGGGTTACGGCTAACACTGGTTGATAATTAACAAACCTGTGGGAGAGGAAGCAAGTCAAACATGCATGTAAAACAGACACTGGCATTTGGAATAGATCAGAGGAAGTGAAAGTGAGGTCGAGGGAGGACTGCAGGCTGCGAGACCGTCGATGCCGACCACGCTCACCGCGTGGGCTGATGCAGCAACCTCTAAAGAGCCATCAAACAGAAATGGACCAGTGCATTCACTTACTGACATTTGGGTCACTAGTATGCTTTCACTCTATCATTTAACATTTAAATGAATGACTGAGCTCTAATGTCCAGGCTGAAGCACGTTTTTAAATGTTAGGACGTGACGAGTCCCTGATTTGATTTTTTAAATTGCTGTCTTACTGGCAGACACGTTTGTGTTAAACCAGCTCAGAAGTGCCAAAAAGTCATTTGAGTCATCCCTCATTTCTTTATAATGTGCAGTAAATCAATGTGGGGAGTTTTGAAGGTGCAAACATCAATGGAAACAGAGCATTTAGGCAACAACAGTTTGCACAATTCTAATGAGCTTCAAAGTCAATATTTTACATGAGCACCTTTATTTTTCAGCACAGCGTGATCGCTCTGAGGCCTCGTTATCTGCCAGCGTTTGTGTCAAGATGATTATGATAATGTGGATAATAATGCCTGCGATCAGCTCTGCAGATAAGACGTTATGTAAGCACAGGGAGCATTCGCTGAGCGAACAGCAGGGGAATAAACGTGAACGAGCTGCTCTGCGGTCGGGAGAGGGCGCTAACGTGTTCACTTCCATCGCTCTGTGCACCCATTGTGTTCATACTAGCAAGTAGAGCATGAAGAGCACCACGGGTACCTGTATGATGCACCCATATGGGTCAGGAATCATCTAAACCGCCTCGCATTTTGGTTTAATGGTGGGATGAGAGGAGTCAGCACTGCCAGCGCTAGCTAACAAGCTAACGGCGGATATTTTCAGGCACTGACATCATGCACGGTCGCATTTATTGTAGCAACGCTGTCGTCTTCACTGCAGGAAAAACTGAGTGTGACGTTGTGGTTTTAAACATTCAGAACATGCTGCGTCCTGCACAACAATCAACCGCAGTAAATCAGCAACTTGCTGTTTGCAGTTTAGAAAACCGCAGCCCTGTCAGAATTCATGCACCACATAAGTACACAGTGTACTGCATACCGGTACGTAGACAGAAGTATCTGGATGTAGGCAGAAGAATATCTGTGCTATTAATAATCGACTGAAATAACCGTGAAAAAAGGAAATAACAGCTTTAAATGTATTTATGCTAAGTTCAGACGTTCCCTAAACCAGGTCAATAAACGTTTAAGCTGCTAATGATCCCAGAATTCATGCAGTGCTGACAGTTACTGTAAATAGGTTGCCACTGTTGTTGGTGGCTAACTGTGGATGTTAGCGACAAAGAGAACAATCATTGATGTGGTTCACAAACCAGTTTGAGTGCCTCGAGACACCATCACAGGATCAGAGGACGCCACACCCGACTGACAACCAGTGATATACACAACCACAGGCTCTGCCAGCTCACCAGAAGCCAACGCCCACGTATGTTTTTGAACCGTGCGACGAAAGAGAACATTCAAATTTTACAGCAGCCGGGCAACAATGCTAACCAGGGAGAGATTAGAAGTTGTTAGTGCTGCATTGTTTGTTCTGCTTTTTTCTGCACAGATATGATAGAAAACAGGAAAATAGCCACACAGCTGCCGTAAAAGGCAGAAGGAATATTGTCGTGATCCCACCAGGCAGCTGTAAACGTGATAACTCGAGAGCAAGGCGACGTTTTACCAAACGTGCTAAAATTCTGCAGAAAATCGGTCAGGTGAGGTCAAATTTTCCTTGGTTACTGGATGTGTAGGCAGCATGCAGCTTCGTCACAGCAGAGATTCTCATATTCCCTAACGAGATTTTACCTGGAGTCCAATGTTGTGCTTCCTTGTTGGGAGATCAGTCCTGTTCTGCTTTGAGACGGACGGTCTCAGCGTGGTTTGTAATAATTTGTAATGTTTAGGAGGCCACAGAGTGGGCAGCATTGTTTTCTTTGAGTCGGCTTCCTGTCGGGCTCTCATTATGAAACACATTCCCACGGCTGTTATCCAAAGAAGCAGGCGCACGTTTGGATCCAAACCTCTGTCTCTGCTGCAGTTTATCTGAAGGTTATTCACTCAACAGTTTGAGGGTGGATATATCACTGATTTTTATTTCAAGGCTTGAACTGCAGCACAACATGGAGGTTATTCAAATGAAATGGGCACTTTAGCGATTTACACTTTACATTTTTCAAAGTTAAGAGACTAAAGAAAATTAGTTAATCGTTTTTCAGAAATCACTGAGCTGATAAACATGTTCCAAACTTTTCAAACAGTTTGAAGCTGATATAGCAATACAAGAAAATTCAGTTCAGTCTTATTCATATAGTGCCAAATAAGAACAAAGGCGCTTCATATTGTAGCGTAAAGACCTCACAGTGACAC